CCCCGGGGTGTGCAGGGCACCGGGGGGATGGCAGGCAGGGTGCCGACACTGGGAACTGGACAAGGGACCCCGCTGCAACCAGCCGATGCTCTGAAATCATGTTTAAAGATGCAAGAGGTTCCCAAAAGAGGATTCGGAGCTGGGTTTGCTGCCCTTTGGTCTCAGCACTGATGTTCTCGAGGGCTGTCCCCGAGAGGAGGTTGGCTTCGTGCATCTGGGCAGAGCATCGAAAGGGGAAATGTCCCTCCGCTCTGCTGATGTGGCCACGCGGAGCAGAGCAGCGATGGCTGGTGGGTTACACGAGGGATGTGGTGCGGTGCTGTGGTTCCCGGCAAGGCTGCAGTTTCACTTACTGGGCCGTGCTGGTGCAAACTGCGAAGAAAATTGTGTTAAACCATAATTCGGGGCTTAGGGCAAAGGGTTTCCAGTGGACAAGTGGTTTTCCCTCCTGCGCGCCTCCAGCCGAGCCGTGTGCTGTGGCAGCAGTAACGCAGCACAGCGAAGCGTTTCTCCGAAAGGTGGGACCCCAAGCGCTCGCTGGATGGGTCTCCTGGGGCTGACGTGACCATGGCAAACGCCAGGAAATTTAAAGTCAGAAAATTGCCCCTATGTTAGTAGTAGCAGTATTTCAAAGAGGGGGAAAAAAAAAATAAATCTGCTTGTCTCCGCGCCTCTGGAATTCAGATCCCGCCTCGGGAGCTCCCGTGCTGAGAGCTAACCCACGGCTCGCAGTCCCGGGGAATTTTTGTCACAGCCGGCTGGGGAGAGGGCGGCATTTCATGGAGATGTGGACGGCCGCGCACCAAAACCCCCAGGAGCAGGAACCTGCCGTGGGAGGTGCTGGTTGAGCATCGGTCCTGCCCCTGGCTGAGGACTTGGAGGGCGACTGGGGGATTTTGGGGCTCTTCCACGTGGGTTTGCATCACCTCGGTCTGGCTGCCACACCGGTTCGGGAGGGAAGGGGCCGAGCTACCCTCTTGGGGATGCTGGTGGTGTCCCCCGCTGAGGTGACGTCCCCCGGCTTGCACGCAGCCCCCTTCTGTGTGGCTTTTCTCCGGCTGGTGTTGGCACTGGGGGGGGGCTGTGCCAAGCACGGGCTG